TCAGAGTTACAGCAGAATAGACAAGAAAAGGAGGTTGATTTTGCAAAGAAATTGAAGACAGCAGATGAGGAACTGAAGAAACTGAAAGAAAACATCATCCAGGCGAAAGAAAACATTCTTAAAAAGAGAGCAGATGAGGAGAAAATTCCCAAAAAAGAACTACTATTTAATGGTAAGTGGTTTCATATACGTAAAGAAACTGAGCTGTAGGACCGTTTTATGACAAATAAAGTCCACCGGCAATGCTAGCCTGCGAATACAGTCGCGTCAACTGAAACCGGCATCAGCTCGCAGAATATCCGCCTTAATCCAGGAGTTTGCTATATAATGAAAGACGATTTTGACTCCATATTGTTGTTTATAGACGGCGGATTGAATTTAAGGAAATTGTATTTTTGTATAATCAATTTTTGCGTCGGTAAAGACAAGAAAACAAGGAGCTCTGCACTCTACAGCTTATTCAATAATGCATACTAGAAAGGTTTTTACGACAGTAACTGCAGACATTCTCGCGCGCTCATTAATTCTTAAACCCTTTTCCCAGAGGGAACATTACTTTTTCCATTTCGTACATCCAGCCAGACCCCGGGAGCCAGACACTCTGTTTAGTTATGGACTAGATTACTTTAAATTTGGTTCGTTGATGTAGGGCATTCCATTCTCGTCACCAGTGCTGCTCGTTTTAAATTGTCGTTCCGATTCGGTGGCGTTTGAAGGGACCCTGCTGATACCAGCCTGGTACTGAAACGGCTCAATACCCTGTTTGAATATAAATAACTTAAAGTTGAGTTTAAACATTAACCCAATTCGAAAAACATTCATCAATCGAAAATACACGCTATTGTGATATCTCTCAGTTAAAAGGCGCGCTGTGATTTGTCAATTTAGCGGGCCGTATTCTCCTGTACGGCCCGCTGAAATTTAAAGTTGGTTTTGTTACCAAACTGTTTCATGATTTACCGCCAAGTGTTCTTACCTTTAATAGGAAGAGAAACTTTCTTTTACTCTAAATTGTGTATTAAAGCGCGCTAATGACTTAAAACCGATTTCAAATTGACTCGATTTTGCTTTCAAGGTGCGTCAGAAATTTGAAGCCGTTCCGCGTGAATATAGAAATCGTCAGGCACACAGTAGAGATATAATAAATATCTTACTATTTTTATAAATTATATTTTCTTCGATCTTTTTTGTCGTTCAGCCAACGATTGCTTCGACCTTCAGCCATCATGGTTTGACACATTGTTGTCAAGCAATATCGGATGCCTCGAAATTAACAACTATCCAGTCCGAACAAACGATCTTGACGCTAAGAAAACGGATGGTTCCTCTGACAAGCACTCGAAACCAAAGCAATCAAACCCAGCTAAAGGTATGTAAGGTGATCGAAATTTAAAACATGGTTTATCAATGCGTCCAACGAAAACAAAGAAAGATTTCTCGCGGTTTCGAAATCGGCTTAATGGCAGAATCAGCAGAGTCCAGGGCTCCGAAGCATATAGAGTAAACGGATTCAATATTTTTTGCAGATCCAAGACTTCGAAGCTTTAAGCTTCCAGAACTTAAGCAATTTCTCCCCATTCCTCCCTCACCCACCCCATGACGCTGTTTTTAAGGCTTTCTTCTGATATTTTGTTTTGGTTGTATTTTATAGAGCTATGATTCCTTCTTAAACTCGGCATTAATCACTCATTAGTATACATGATAGAATAAATTTGAGTGAAAATAACAAATTCCATTCTCTATATGTTGAGCCGAAGGCTAAAAAAATCAAAGGTTAAAAGAATCAACCGCCACTTGTTCCTGTGACCAATTCTGACAGGGCGGAAGTTAATTAAGAAAGCGGATATTCCAGTCTCAGATTCCTCTGACTCTAAGAGCAAACCGAATCCATTTAGGAAAGCTATTAACTTGGCTATTAACTTTCCTGAATGGATTCGGTTCGCTTTTTGAGTCACTCATGTCATATATAGTGTGTTAATCGTGTGTCGCGTGATTAAGGTTAGGTAAGGTAAAGTAAAGTCTGCGTACGAGCCATGTCGGAGCTTATCTTGGTTTCAGTAGCATGAAGCGACTAGGGGTATTTCTACTCCCCCCTGGATGGGATGCTAGTTAA